AATCCATCCATCCATCCATCCATCCATCCATCCATCCATCCATCCATCCATCCATCCTTTACCTGCTTCTTCCTTTCTGGGTCATGGGGGTCACTGGTGTCCATGTCCACCCATCACTGTACGAGAGACAGGAGACACCCTGGACAGGTCTCCAGTCCATCACAGGGACACTTAGAGACAAATGAGACAAACAACCATTCACTCTCTCACTCTCACCTAGAGACAATTTAGAGTTACCAGTCAGCCTAACATGCATGTTTTTGGTCTGTGGGAGGAAACCGGAGTACCCGGAGAAAACCCACGCATGCACGGAGAGAACATGCAAACTCCACCCAGAAAGGTGCCCTGCTGGGATTTTATCCGGCGACCTTCTCGCTGAGAGGCAGCAGCTCTACCAACTGATCCACTGTTCCACCTGTTAGAAAAACTAACACCCTTTAAATCATTTATTTCTCTCCTTCTGGTTGTGTCAGAACGTCTAGAAACGAAACTTTTCACCCCTTTAACTGTTGACGACACTTTACCACAGTTCACAGCTGCTGACAGGCTGACGGCTCGGTCCTGCCAGAGTCCAGTGTCCTTCACCTTTTCCTGCTTGACCTTGATTTTTACAGAATAGGAGAACGAGGTGGCATGAAACATGAGCTTCCTAATGGCCCAACTCCTTTGTTTTAGGCTCTCCGTGCCTTCATGGAGTTGTACTTACTGATTTAATGAACTTCAGTCTTGACACCAAGCTTTTCACACCACGCTGTGGTCCGATTGACTCATGGGGGGGGATGTGTTGACAGTGCTTTGTGTATTTGTGCATTATTTGATGAAATCGCTAGGTTCTGAGACAAAAGAACATTTTAAATAGTTAAATTTTCCTGATGACCAGTGTTCCTTCTTATAATACTGGACTTAGTTCCACACGTCCTGTTTTGAAACGAAACACAAAACATCTTGAACATCAGCTGAAGTTGCATGTTGATCACACTCAGACGTGTCTGCAGTTCTCCAGCATGTAAACGGTGCACGGTACTTTCTGCTGGTTCTGACTGGCCGTGAGCTGACTCTTCTCTGGTTTCAGGTCTGGAAGCGTCGCCACGGACTGGTTCGAGATTTACTCCTTTGTCTGGAACCTGACCGAACGATTTGTGAGGCAAGTACGAAGTCACATTTTTAAATTTATTTTAATATTTAGGGTTTAATTTTAGATTTTATTTTGTTGTTGGAGAAAACAAATTATTGGATTAAACGAGTAAATACAAAGCAAGGACCTGGCAGTGATTTATTTCTAGTTCAAACAGAGTTTGATTGACAGCTGATGATTAAAAACTGAACATTCTGTGAAAATGGAATGTGAACGTTGAGTGCCGAATGACAGCCGAAACTGAGCTGTTGAAGCTAAAAGACGTAGAACAAAAGCCAAAACTACTGAAACACTGTCTTAAAGCTAAACGTTGCAAAAGAATAGCAACAAGTGTAAAGCTGTCAAAATGTAGATAAAAGCTAAATTGTTAACTAATTGTAGCTAAAAGTAGCAGAACAGTAACAAAAATAAAAAAGTTGCAAAAAACAAGTGAACCATCCAAAGTAGGAAAAAGTAACACAAGGCTAACTTAAAGCTGAATCTATCAAAAAGCCATTTAAAAGACAATAGTAGCTAGAAGCTAAAGGCTAGCTAAAAGTTTTGCTGCTGCAAATATTAAGAAGGTAACTAAAAATAAAGGGCTAGCTATAATAGAGCTAAGTTTTGGAAGAAAGTGAAGAGATCTCAATAGATATGTGTCAGTAAAGGGATAAAAGTCACCGGACGAGCTGAATGTTTTCACCAACGAACAGCTAAAATAGCACAAAGTATGTAGAAGTAGTATAATTAAAATAAAAACTGGACTACTACAGTGTGAATGATGAACATTAACAAGAAAAGTCTTAAAAACGTGTAAATACGTCCCTGTTTTGTTGGATATTATAAGTTTGCTTCACTGATTTCTTATATTTTACATATGTTTGATATTAAGTTAGAGCTTTCCTGGAACCAAACAAGCTCACATCATAGTTTGCCGTCTGTTGCACAGATTTAAAGGACTTCCCACCTGTTCTCCAAACTATCATTGCGCATCCTTTTGAATCGTAATTAATAAAAGACAAAAGCGTTTGTGAGGACTCGGAGCGTTCGGCTTGCATAACGTTTGAGTGAAGCGTTGCTGCCAGCACACTACAGACGGTAGCGCCGCCGCAGCCAGAATCAAGTGGTTGCTTGAAGAAAATAGCAAAGGCACCAGGTGGGAGTGGGTGGCAGAGAGGAGCAGTCTTCTGGGCTGTGAGAATGGCCATTTGCACCGGGGGGGTCCGGCTCCACACTTATCCCCTGCTTCCACCACAGAACGGCTGACAGGCAGACAATGTACAGTAAAGCAAAAGAACACTGGAAGGCGACGACGACAATCTGCTAAACAATGCTCGCTCACCAAGAGCACTTCTGTTCTGCCATGTGGAGCAAACTGGACGACTTCATCACCCCCTCCCTCGCAAATAAAAAAAACAAGCCCTCCACCATCCTCACATTTGTCCTTGGCATCCACGCCTCTTTATCTCAACAGTTAGCGCCTCAGAAGGTTTGCCCCCTAGAATAATCTACGCGTGGACGTCCCAAAGGTTTAGCTTTTTGTCTGGGTGAAGTTTAAAGATGGCTGCCACGGCCCCGCTCCGGCTGCTTTGAAGAGTGCGAGTTGTGTTTGTGGGGGAGGATCGCGACGGGGCCGTGTGTCATGGTGGAGGAATATCAGCACCTCTCCTTATGCTCCGAAGGCTTCACGTCTCCGAAGGAAACGTTTGTGCGCTCGGTAACCTGAAGTTTAACTCGCTCTGTCGAGAGCGTCCACGGGCTCCGTCTGAAGCAGAGGTGGGAGTTACCGAGTGCGTTTCATCTGCTCGAGTCCCCTTATACATATTATTGTCTATAATATAAATCATTGATGAGGAAATGCCCTATTATTGTTCAACTCTACGTTTAGAGGAGGCGGTTTTTATGATTTTAAACCCAATTCATGAATCGGAGCGCAAAGTCCAACGAGGCTGCCGGTCTCCATGTGAGAAATCTTAAATGTTAGCACTCTTTTTTTTTAAATGCATTTAATATTTTACACACAGGTTTTAGACATAGAAATACGTGAAACACTTTAAATTCATGGTCGATGTTGGGAACTCTGATGTTGACGTCCTTCAGTGGTCTTTGATATAAAATGTGCTGCTGGAAATAGTTGTTGTTTCTTGGAACGCTGCTGTAGATCACAGCGTTTAATTCAGACGTGGACGGAGCGGGAGGAGATGGATCAATGGATTGTGGCTCGGGCCTCGGTAATGAGGGCGTTGCTCCAGTCTCTTGTGGTGACGGAAGGAGCTGAGCCGACCAAACTGGATGTGTCAACATTCCAACTCTCAGCTATGGTCATCATCACCAAAAGAGACGTCACGGAGACGAGCGGCTGAGTTTCCTCTGTAGGGCGTCCGGACTCGGCCTCAGAGACGTAACGAGGAGCTTCATCATGCGGGGGGAGCTCAGAGTAGAGACGCTGGACTAAATGAGTCCTTCTCAACGCGAGTCAGTAAAGTTTAGGGAGACAGCTGCACGCCTGACAGTTTTCATATTAGTGTTTGTATGGTCTTCACCGGTTTAATCTGGTATTTGCATCAAAACCACCTGTGTTTGTAAAGCAAAAATCTGTTGACGTCCACGAGCGGGCCTCTTGTGACGGAGCTGAACAGCTTTACATTTTTCAACTAAAGGCACATTCTGTAGCCGGAGTTGCATCAAAGTGTCCAGATTGAATTAAGACCTTATAAAAATTCACAGGTACAGTGTGTTTCTTTATATATATGTAGTTTTAGTGGTGCAGGATGTTTGTGACTCATCACCACAACATGTTTCTTGTCTGATTAATCACGTCCTCGGTGCCACCAGCTGCTTCAAGTCATGCACTAATATTAGTTGACATTAAATGAGCTCCTTCTGTTTGCCTAATTATTTATTATTTTTTAGCAGAACTGGACTAACGAGAAGTGTTTGAATCAAACGGACGCCTGTAGATGTTGTGAGACGTGGACAGGATTTGTTTTGGTGATGGTTCATCTCTCGGAGGAGGAGTGACCTTTCGGTCATGTCAGGACTTCACTCCAGAACGGAGATTTAAGTCTGCGTTAATGTTTCGACTTCATTTCTTGTGCTTTTCTTCTCCTCAGCCCACGTATGAGAGTCTCTTTCATAGTTTTCTCGACCCAAGCAAACGTCCTGCTGCCGCTGACGGGAAACAGGTACGAAACACGGACACGTCACTAATTTATACGTGATAGTTGCCGCTGACGCTTTGCTCGAACAAGAAGCTCAGCAGCTAATGTGACTTTTGACTCGCGGTTTTACTTTAAAATCAAAATAACAGCTCGACTTCAGGACAAAACTTCTGTCAAAGATTTCTGCACAGATCTGATCTTGACTCAGTTTAAAATTTGACCCACCTGCATACGAGACGCTGTCAAACTATTTTTGGACAAAGTTCATTTAAAAAGTCATATTTTCCACAGCTGACCATATTTCAGTTTAAATTATAACTATAAACCTGAAGCGTTATCAAATTTTACTCAGTCACATAAAATCACAAACATTTCATTTTAATGTATAATTAACAAAAACACAAAGGTTTTATTATTACTAAAGTGTTTTGTGACGCGTTGTTGGGGAGCAGGAAACATCCCTTTTGTTCACAGGTGAGACCAAAAGTTTTGTGGCATCTTACCCCAAATAATAATAATAATAATAATAATAATAAACTTTATTTCTATAACACCTTCCAACAACACCTTGCATTGACCAAAGTGCTTTACAAGATAAAACAAATTAAGAACACAGCCACAATAAAAGGACAAGATAAAAAAAATACTACAAGTTAAATATCAAAAGCTCTTTTAAATAAGCAGGTCTTCAGTTTGGTCCAAATAACCCCATAATGAAGATTAAATCTGCAAATATTACTAATAATAACCTTGTTAAACAATAACTACCTTTATCAAATACTGTTTTTGTTTATAAATAGGATATTTCTTTGTTTAAAATAAAAATTATATATATAACACACTGTATATGTATGGTCAAACTATTACATTTTATTTTTTATATATATATTTAACATTTAATTTGTTTTCTGGAGCTCTGGGGACCCTCAGTCGATGTTTCATCACCCACAGTGACGTCCTGCTTGGGAACTAATTAAACAACAACATAATATTTAATTTGTGTTATTTTATTAACGCAGCACCTATTTTAATTGTAATATTCAAACAGAAATGTGAAATATAAAGGATTATATAATATATTTATAATATAAAAACAGAATCTAATGAGAGCAGATGCTATTTTTGGTGTAACTGGGACCTTGAGTACATAATTTCGTTCCACCTCATGTACCACATGTGATGCGAATGACAAAAACTCGACTTGAACTTGAGTTTGCATCACTGAAACTTCAAAATATTTTTATATATATATATATATATATATTTTTTTTTACAATGAAGTAAAAATAATGCGTTGTTCTTGAAAACCACTGCGTTAAAAATTAAAATTTTACATATTTTATTGTTTTTGTGTAACAAACCTTTTCTCTGAGAGTAAATGATTTTTATTTGTTTCAAACTTTAGTGTTTTGGTAATAGTTGAATTTATGCAATGCGTTCTTTATTTCTTTTTTAACTGGAACTATTTAGTTTTCATATTAAGAGGCTTTATGTTTAATAAAAGGTACGAATCGTTACTTTTTATCATCTAACTGAGTGCATTATTTATTTATGAGGGCGTAACTGGATAAAAACAAGCGAACGGCACATTCCTATATGACGTTGGTGCAGCCAAATGGCTCCTGAAAGGTAGTAAAAGATTTCCTGTGAACATCCAGAGCCCACATTGAGGAGGGCCTGCAGCGTCTGCGGGACGTGAGACCAGCCGGTGAAACCTACATGCACGAGGGAATCAAAGAGGTCGGTTGGTCCTGTGAGAGTCTCCCAGTTTATTTAGGATTAAACAAAATAAAACTGCATCTAATGAAGATTTGTTTCAAACGGAAGGCGACGGCTCAGATGCAGCAGCAGCCGACCAAGTCCTCCAGCATCATCTTGGCTTTAACAGACGGGAAGCTCGGGGTTTACGTCCACGAACTCACCGTGCAGCAGGTGACGTGCACCTTTTAACTTTTCTTTGAGCTCTAGGCTGTGGAATGAAATAATTTGACACAAAGAGTTTATTCTTATTCACGGGAGAATTGTTCTTCGTTCCCCTTGTTGCTCTTTGGTCCGAGCTGCAGGCTGACGAGGCGAGGAAACACGGCGCTCGTGTTTATTGTGTGGGCGTCAAGGACTTTGACGAGCTCCAGGTAAGTGAGATTTATTCTTAATCTGCCGCAATCAAACATGAGAGAGAATCTCTAGGAACCACAAGTAAACCTGCAGCCTGCGAGCGAAGTGCTCTGTTAGGAAAATACGGAACAATAAGGTCTAGAATATAAGATGGAGCTAGGTTGTTGAAGGGTTTGTAGGTTAGAAGTAAGATTTTGAATTCTATTCTGGATTTGACAGGGAGCCAATGGAGAGAAGCTAAAACTGGAGAGATATGATCTCTCCCAGTAACTCCAGTTAAGACTCTGGCAGCAGCATTTTGGATCAACTGAAGACGTTTTATTAAAGAAATATTTGGACACCCAGATAATAAACCATCGCAATTATTTAAAAAAATCATAAATCAAAACGTTCAGCTCTTTCAAGACAATCCTGCTATGACTTCTGGTATTGGTGCAACTTTAGCTTTTGGAAATATTTAGCCTTTTCTGCCATTTTTTTTCTCATAAATAATGATTTGAGTTCATTTTACATCCTTCAGATCTTTAGATGTGTTTACAACCTTTTACTGCTCCTTTCACATTTTGTTCTGCTTCAGCTTCTTTCAGCGTCCTGGAGCAAATTTAAACTTTTTTTCAGCTATTTTCTGCTAATTTCAGCTGTTTTGTGCGCCTTTCAGATTCTTTCGGCTAACTACAACTTTTTTTGTGCTTCTTCTAACTTCTTTCTGCTAATTTCAGCTTGTTATGCTCCCTTCAGTTTATTTCTGCTAATTTCAGCTTTATCTACTATTTCAGCTACTATATATCCGTTTCATGCTAATTTAAGCTTTTTCAGCTCTTTCTGCTTCCTTCTAGTAGTTTAAGCTTCTTTCTCCATTTTCAGCCACTTTTCAGCAAATTTCCTAATTTTTGTGCTCATTTTTGCTTCTTCTAACTTCTTTCTGCTAATTTCAGCTTATGTTCCTTTCAGCTTATTTCTGTTAGTTTCAGCTTTTTCTACTATTTCAGCTACTGTTTATCTGTTTTATGCTAATTTGAGTTTTTTTCAGCTAATTCCACATTATTGCACTTCAACTTTTTTCAGCCTAATTCAGCAAAAATGTGCTCTCTCCACTTCCTTCTTGTAATTTAAGCTGCTTTCTGCCTTTTTAGCTACTTTTCAGCGAACCCCCCTCCAATTTAAGCTTTATTCAGATAATTTCCACTTTTTTGAGCTCATTTCAGCTTCTTTCAGCCTAATTGGGCAAACCTGTTCTTTCTGCTTTCTTCTGCTAATTTAAGCTTGTTCTACTTGTTCAGCTACATTTTTAGAAAAAATTAGACAATTTCAGCTGTTTTCAGATACATTCAAAATTTTTTGGTGGTAATTTCTGCTACTTTCAGCTTAACTAACTTCTTTCTGCTAACTTTAGCTTGTTATGCTCCTTTCAGCCCAATTGTTCTTTTTCCTGCTATTCATAGCTTTTTCAACCAATTCCACATTTTGTCATCTCATTTCAGCTCCTTCCATTTCCTTCTGGTAGTTTAAGCTTCTTTCTGCCTTTTCAGCTCCTTTTTGTTAATTTCAGCTTTTTTTAGCCAATTTCCTATTTTTTGTGCTCATTTCTGCTTATTTAAACATAATTCAGTAAATGTGTCATTTCTGCTTTCTTCTGCTTGTTCTTCTATTTCAGCTACATTTCAGCATGTTTAGCTAATTTCAGCTGTTTTTCAGCAAGTTCTTCTGTGCAATAAGTTTTCACACTGCATCTTTGCAGGAAATGCAATTTCTCTGAGTTTGAGTGTAGTTGTGGTCTGTTCCGGGCAGCCGTCCATCCGTCGGCGCTCGTCAAGTCAAAAACAAAGGCACTCTGCTCGCAGTTTGGGCTACGATCGTTTTGTCTACAGTTGAGCAAAGTGTTTGCTGCAGTCGTGCCATCTGCTGCAGCTCCTCCTGCCCGTAACAGACACAACTCTGTCACAACGAGGAGAGCGTAAAAAGAAGAAAGTCGTGTTAAAGCAGCTCTTCTCCTTGTTGACTCCTCTCATCCGTCGTTCCGACAGCTTGCTGAAATCGCAGACTCCAAAAACAACGTGTTTCCTGTCAAAGATGGCTTCCACGCTCTCAAAGGCGTCATCAACTCTGTAAGTTCGCCTCTTCTGCTTCTTTTGTTTTGTGTGTTTTTCTATTTTAGCGCTAAAGAGGATTGAGTTTAAAAATTGAAGATGTGCAGACGCTGAAGCCGTTCTGATCACAGCTGAAAGCAACATGATGCTAAGCTGCATGGACATTTTTGTGGAAATGACCACTTGATGTGTTCTCATTTTGCAGACGGGGCAGGAAGTGCCTCGCCCACTGTGTCGTAACTCACACACAGGAACAGCTTCACAAACACTCGCTGTCCTGAAGACGTCTCCGTTTTTATCGTGCCGAGCATTAAAGCTCAGCAGCAGCACTTTAATACGGCTAATTCCTTCAGTGTACATCAGAAACTAAAGTTCAGCATAACTCATGTTCCCAGTGGGATTCTGTCATGTGTGAACAGCGGTCGCAGATCCAGCCTCCTCATCCTCTGCCAGCTAATTAGTGATACTTTCCATTTGCTGCAGCTTTTAGGCTGAACGCCGTCGGTGCAGGTTTGTACGGTGAAATTATGACACGAGTCCTGCAGAGGACTCTGACCTGAGCTGGCTTTGCATCTGCCAACAAGGCCCTCAGCGAGAACGTTACAGAGCTGTCGCACCTGTAGCTGAGGGGCGGAGCTTGTTTCTGTGCACGATGCAAAAAGTAATCGGCTGTGATTTATGTGATTTTATGGCTTCAAAACGACACAAGAAAAGCGATTTATGCTTTAAAATTGAGATTTTTAATAACATTCTTTTTTAATTTTTGCACTTTTTGCTCTTTTTAAACTGGAAATGACCAAAAATGAAGTCGGTTTAAAATCGATAAGTAGTTGTATGACGCTTTAAATATAATGTTTTGAGCTAAGTTCATTTATATTCAGTGTTTGCACAACGTGGTCACTTCAAATTCAGGGCGACTTTATAAAGGATTTAAACAGTTTAAATTTAAACAATGCGTTGTAAATAAGTTATTGATGAGCAGAGCTGCACATCTGGAAACTTTCCAGAAAATTTCCACGAGAAGTTATGAGATATAACAAAGTTAGATTTATCTGCAGCAGTCGGTGAGAGACACCCTGGACACGTCTCCAGTCCCTCACAGGGACAACCGTTCACCGTCTCACTCACACTTCATTGCTCCTAAATTGTCCCTAACATGCATGATTTTGGTGTGTGGGGAAACCCACTCGTGCACGAGGAGAACATGTGAACTCCAACCTGACAGGTCAGGAGGCGAACCTGCGACCTTCTTTCTGTGAGGCGACGGCTCCAACCACTGCTGTGCCGTTCTGCTCCGCTGTTGTAATCCTTTTATAAATTCACGCACACGACTGCAAACATAAACACAGATGTGTTCCCATGTTTTTTGTCGTTGCATCATAAAAAAATCAAAAATGAAAATGAGTAAATTGCACACCACAAAAATAATCACCGACATAAATTTATGTACGGATAAAATGAAATGGCAGATATTTAATTGGCAGTTGTTTGTTTTATTGAGACCACAAATTGTACAAGTCTCTTTCTCGTGTTTTCCTGTAATTTAAACGCTCGAGTCCTTTCCTGAAGCCGTCACGAGGACGCTGAGGACGCCTCTGAGGACAGCAGCGTCCAAACGAAACGAGAAGCATTCCTCTCTGAGTCACTCTGGATCATCTGCAGCTGTTTGTTACAGGATCTGCAACAAACTCCATTTTGTTCTTGCACCCTTAAAGGCCTTTTGTTTTGAGTTTGGTTTTTCTCTGCACTGAACACGACGGCTGTTCTCGGAGCTGCAGGCCTTTTGGGAGAACCCCTAAAATACGACTCGGCCTCCGTCATTCAGTTTTTCACTCATCCACACACCGAGCTGAGTTTATTAACTTTTACAGACTTGGAGATGCTTCTGTTACGTCTTCGTCAAAGTTTCCACACGATCCAGCAATTTTCAGTCAGGTCATCTGGACAGTTTTTTTTTTTTTTTGCTGAAATGTTTCACCTTCCATCCAGAAGGCTTCATCAGTCAAGGAAACACACAACACAAAACTGATTCTTCTCCCAACAGCTTACTCCAAAGTGGAACAAACCAGTTATGTTGGTGCTAAGATGGTGTCTTTGGCACGCCCGCTCCTCCGGTGCCGGCCCTCTTCCTCATCAAGAGTCTTGTCAAACTGGTTCAAAACCAACAAAGTCCATGCTCAATAATCCAGGTGTACAATCCAACAATTTTCAGTCAGGTCATCCGGACAGTTTCTTTTTTTTGTAAAAAGAAAGCTTTTAGCTTCTTTTTTTTTTTTTTTTTGACATGACTGCCAATGAGGAAGAGGGCCTTCTGGATGGAAGATGAAACGTTTCAGCACAAAAAAAAAAAATAAACTGTCCCGATGACCTGACTGAAAATTGTTGGATTGTATACCTGGATTATTGAGCATGGACTTTGTTGGTTTCCACTCAATCGTTTCATCCTTTAACAAAGACCCTTCAGCTACGAACCGGTCCGAGATAATCCAGTGTCTTCCACCAGACCCTGGAGAAATGAGAAGCAGCTGGTAGAACTGAACCAAACCTCTAATCTCAGCATTCAGAGTGTTTTTGTTCAGTGCTGTGAAAAAGTTTCCACCCACTTTCAGGGAGCATTCACACCAGCGCTGTTGTCGTGAACTCTATAGCCCGTTTGCCTTTGGGGAGGTGTGAAGTCGCCATCGAACTCTGTCACGGAACGAAAAGGTGAACTCTGGCCCGCCTAAACCTAGGTCTCGGTCCAGTAGAAGAAAACTCCAGCGCGGTTCGAGTACAGCGTGAATGTAAACAGACCGGGCCTCGCTCCACAAACAGGAAGTGGAGTACAGCGCAGGACAAACAAACACGCATTTCTCTTTCCTCACATGGAGCCGTCAGCTGCTTTGTGTGAAAAACATTCTCCATGATCTCCTGCCTCATCTTCCACTCATGCTGAGTCCATGGTTGAAAAATGACAAAGTAGAACTCCTAAGTATTTTGTTACACTGTTTCAGATCAACAAGCTAATTTAAATCTCAAAGTTGATCAGAGTAAATACTAAACTACTGTTTTAAAAACGAAAAATCCTAACCCAACCGACCAGGCCTCCTTGTTAAATTATGAATAACTGGTGGTTTATGTTGTTGATGGAAAGCAGCTCAGTTTCACTCACCACACCTGATTACTGCCAGATTCAAGAACTCCTTTAAACAGAGTCTTTGGTGCACAAGTGGACCAGCAGTGAACATTCCCACTAAAATGACTGGGTGTTTTCACACCTGATGGTCCGATAGACTCTGTTCGATTGGGGACCAATATTCAGAACATTTGTTTACATTTCAGCTGGTGCGGTTCTCATTCACACTGCACTGAGTCAGTCGAGCCAACCTGTCCCACCCCCCCGCCTGTGGTGGCGCTACACCAAGAACTACTGAAGGAAATGACACGACCTTCTTCTTTTTCATTTTCTTCTTCTGGAATAAAAATAAAAACAGTGGCGTCAAATTTTAGCGGGTTTAGGAGTTCTGTTTTGTCATTTTTCAACAACGGACTCTGCATGAAAGGAAGATGAGACAGAAGACCACGGAGAATGTTGTTTTTCTCACAAGGCGGCTGACGACTCCTTACGACGTAAGAGAAATGCGCGTTTGTTTGCCCTGCGCTGTACTCCACTTCCTGCTTTTGGAGCGGTCTCCGGTCCGCTTGCATTCACACGGTACTCGAACCACACCAGAGTTCACTTCAACCGAACCGAGACCTAGGTATTTAGGCGGACCTGAGTTCGCTTTTTTGGTCCGCGTCAGAGTTCGATTGCACATTCACACCTCCCCAAATGAACCGGACTTTCTAGGCAAACGGACTAGAGTTTGATTAAAGCGGACTAAACGGGCTCAAAACCGTCAAACAAAAACAGGAACAAACAAAAGAGCGAGTCAAAGTGGCGCTCCCTTCAGTAAAGCATGGTGGAGGTCATGTGATGGTCTGGGGCTGCGTTGCTGCTTCAGTGTTGCCAGATAAACGTAATGATGTTTTTGGCCCAACCTTCTTTTCTGTGCACGTGTTCACCAAACACAGCACTCACTTCATTTTACAATCTCTTCCTTCTCACAAAGTTCACCTTCGCTCAGCACATGTGACAGCTTGGATCAAAATGCACTCATTTTAAAGCAACAGGACAATAGTTCACCGTTTCCTACCTGGCAGCCCTGGCTTCAGGTCTTGGACAACTTGCTGTAACTGATGGAACCACGAGCGCTGCTTTCTTCCAGAAAATCCTGTCCGGTCGTTGGGTTCTGATCCAAAGCTTCAGCTGAAGTCCTCCAGCGCTGCAGTTTGTGTTTACTCAGGCCGTCGGGCTCTGACGTGTTTGATGTGCGACAAAACAAACAGTTTGTAGATCTTCTAACAGATTAAAGAACAGACCTAAATGTCCACAAAGTGTAAGTTTATCACTTTGAACAGAAATGTTTCTACACGTAAAGTGTGACGTGGGTCATTGTTGGGGCTTTCTCATCATTTTAAGGCAATCCATCCGTTTTATTTTCTACTTTTCTGTTTTTTTTTTCCTCTCGTTCGCTGCCAAGGAAGTAATTAGACTGGAAGGATGGAGACGCAGAGGAGCAGCAGCTGTCATACAACCCTCTCCTCTTTTATCAAACCATCCTCCTAACACGGCTCCTGTAAACATTTCCACTTCCACTGCTCAGATGAAGCTCGTGTCCAACATCAAACGAAAGGTTCAGATGTCCTCCACTCCCATTAATATGCTCCGTTTTATCCACGCTGAGCCTGGATTTGCATAGTTTTTCCTCCGTTGATTTATTGAATCGTAGTGGGAAGTGCAGCTCCATGACAGTGCGCTCACGTCGGCCTCTTTATATGATAATGCAACATCCTGGAGGTTTTTAATAGAACTGAGGAGCCATAATAGTCTTGCATAATTTGCCCATAAAGGCTGACACAGCTGCTGTTTTACCCCCGCTCTCCTGGCTGCTGACCGCCAGCGCTCTCCGGTTCCCGCCAGGAACCGATCAGGAGCGGGACGCCTCTCAGGTGTTGCACCCTGATCTGTTTTCTAAACTTGACAGAGCCAATAACGGTCAGGACTTGATGTATTTATTCTGCTCCCCCCAAGCACCCATTTCACCGTCTTCTCGTCCTCCAGATATTAAAGCGGTCGTGCACGGAGATCCTGAGCGTGGAGCCCTCCACTGTGTGTGTGAATCGTAAGTGCATCGTCCCGCTAAAGTTTTCCCCTTCAGCTCAGAGTTCTCTTCGTCTACCTGCTTACTGAACATCCAGGCAACCAAGAGACGTTGCACATGTCTTATTGTTTGTTGACGTTCCAGAGTCCTTCAGCATCGTGCTCAGAGGGAACGGCTTTGCCCTCGGACGCAGCAACGAAGACGTCGTCTGCAGCTTCATAGTGAATCAGCAAACCATCAGTAAGTGAGGCGGCGTACATGTTCACAAAACAACACGTGCATTCACACAAGAAGTATTTTCTGGATCAAACTGACACGTGCAAGATTTGACAAAGGGAAGTCTTGTTCCCGACTGAAGCCAGAGCAGAAACTGTGTTCAGGGAACTATGGTGGTGTTTTTTTGTTCCTCCAGCAAATTTGAAAAATGCTCGAGTTCCAGGTAAAGAGACGTTTTCCTACTTACTGCTGTGTTCCTCATATTAACAACTGTGCCATGCTGATGGGAAAAGTCCAAAGTTGCAGAAACATATTTTAGGACCTCGTGAGAAGTTCCCCAAAATAAACCGTCAGCAGTGAGATTATGTGTCGAGAAGCAGTTTCCACATCTGGTCAAAGACGAACGTGTTAAAGTGTCTGTCCGTAAAGTTTCTCCCTCCTGGGCCGTAACGTCTGATCTGCTCAAGATGATTTAACGAAACTTCAAACAGAAACGCATCATAACGAGGCGAGGGTGTCGCACACACTTAATCACCCCAGCTCCAAGGTCAAGGCCACAGGTCAAGGTTAAATTATATACATGGTCAGCTTGTGTAGGCCATTGTTATAGATGGCTGTATAATAGTTTGAGCGTATAATGTGACGTATGTCGTAGCCTCGTTTCCTTTAGGTTGGTTCTACTTTTTATTTTCATATCGTTCAGTCATGGGGTCCGTCCGTCCGTCCGTCCGTCCGTCCATCCATCCATCCATCCATCCATCCTTCTTTCCTTCTTTCCTTACCTGCTTCTTTCCTTCCTTCTTTCCTTACCTGCTTCTTTCCTTCCTTCTTTCCTTATCTGCTACTTCCTTCTTTCCTTCCTTTCTTATCTGCTTCTTCCTTCCTTCCTTCCTTCACTTC